GTTGGCCTGTTTAGTTTACTTTATAAACAGTTTAGATGGCCTTATCAATTGAGTCGAGCCTCACATGACCTCAATAGTTAAGTGATGAAGACTTACAGTTGGCCTTTTTAGTTGACTTGATGAAGAATCTCACTCAAGTGATAAAGAATCTCACATGGCCTTATTAGTTGATCGATGAACAGCTTCACGTGGCCTTATTAGTTGATTGATGAAGAGTTCCACATTAGTTATTAGTTGACTTCATGAAGAGTTTCACATGGCTTTATTAGTTGGTTTGATGAAGAGTTTCACATGGCCTTATTGGTTGGCTTGAAGAGTTTCACACGACCTTGTTGGATGACTTGATGAAGAGCTTCATATGGCCTTATAATTTCATTTGACAAAGAGTATCAGATGGCCTTATTAGTTGACTTTGTTTCCCTTTCTTCGCTTTGTGACATGATGGTTAACAATATTTCTTATTCACATCACATTTTTTGTAAATGTTTCTGATGAAAGGAATATTCACATTTTTGTAATGTTTCTGATGAAGGGATTCTTGGCAACCAAGGCGTCCACGTCCTTGACACCCATGCCAAACTTGTATGATGAAGTGATGAAGGCCTTCCGTGCAGCACCTGAGGTAGCATCACCCCCTACTTTCGAATCATGCAGACCCAGCCTGTATAGAACCGGGGTCTGCCCCCCCCCCCCTCCCCCCCCCCCCCCCCCCCTCCCCCCTCTACCGCCATCGAGACAAGAACTTCAGTTGCCCCCGGAGTTTCAGGCAAGGACTTACTCCTGATGGATGATGTCGTGGAAGATCTATTCTCTCCTCCTCAACAACCTCCGACTCTTGGTTGATGGTGTGATATTTCCTCTTGTGGTTGCCTTGCTACCAGACAAGAAGCAGGAAACATACAGAAGCCTGTTTCAACGTGTCAAGGACGAAGCTAGTACCTTTGGGTGCTACTTGAGCCCAACTGTGAAGTCGGTGCCAGACAAGCAGCGTGTACAGAGTGGAGAGGGTGCTTCTTCCACTATTCCCAGGCCATTGTAAGGCGGGCGTGTTAACTGGGGATGAAGCAGGACTTTGATGGGAAGAAGCCAGTTGTTTGTGACTTTCTCCGGCAGTGCGTTGTGCTCCCTCTGGTTCCGCCAGCAGAGGTTGAGAATGTGTGGTTAGAGACTCTTGGAGAAATGCCACGGGAAGACCGTGTTCATCGTTTGGCTGACTACATAACCAGCTATTGGATGGAGGAAGATCTTCATCTCCAAGAATGGAACCACCACGACAACTCCGGACCACGTACGAATAACCACTTGGAGGGTTACCATAACAAACTAAAGAAATTAGTGTCCGAAGCCCATCCTATCATTTTCGAAGCCTTACACTACATCGCAAGCATTCAGAGCCCCACCGAGACGAAACTCATTAAGTTCGAAGCTGGCTAGAGAAAATATATATCTATATATTTATGTGCATGACTGTGACATGATAATGATATACAAAATGGTAAATAAAAATCAGAAATGAAACAATTTTGTGTTAAGTGATGTGTGTAATCAGGACAAAAGGCTTACAACAACATGCAACTAGGTCTATTGTACCGCTAAGCCTTTTATTTGCCAAAATCTCACGAAGTCGACCAGGAGGATTTTCTTACCCGTGTCCAGTCATTGGAGTGAGTGAGTGAGTGAGGTTTTACGCCGCTTTTAGCAATATTCCAGCAATATCACGGCGGGGGACACCAGAAATGGGCTTGGAAACTGCATAAACCACTGACCATGGATCATGGACGTCTAGCACATCAAGTTCTCAATTGGACCTATCGGTGGGCGGCGCGACGTAAACGGAACCAAGTTTTTAGAATACACCTGAAGTTTAATGCACTGGGACTATCTCATTTTAACAACATTAATTACACGTATGACAAATGTTACGTCACAAGGACGGTTCAGGAAGAGATATTTGAACAGTTCACAGAAAATTGGATGAAGCTGATCAATCAAAAGAATAGCGTACACGGAACAGGTGGAAATAAGCCGAGAACCTACGCCACTTTTAAAGTCGAATATAGAGTCGAATCCTATGGGTTGGGTGAGCTTCAGCGGTCACACAGAAGCGCCCTTTCAAGATTTCGGCGCGGAGTTGCGCCGCTCCACATAGAAACTGGACGTTACAACAGTACCCCTACTGAAGAAAGAACTTGTTATGTATGCAGAGATACAATTGAGGATGAAAAACATGTTTTATTACACCGCCCACAGTACCAGTCTTACAGATGCCACCTCCTTTCAAAGTGCAATTCAATCTGTCCTGATTTTAACGATTTTAGTGATAACCAGAAGCTAGGTTTTATACTTTCCAGCCCAGAGATGATTGTTACATCTGCCAAAACCTGCAACAGAATTTTATTAGAACGAACACGGGTTTTATACAAA